TTTGTCAGACGCTTAATCACTAAAATACTGGACCTCAAATTCAGTCAGATACCAGATTAATCACTTTATGGAACCATAAAACTTTCCCTGCACTGGAGAATCAGTATTTTTATGAAGCACTTGATCTAAAACTGCAGCATTAAGAAAGTCTCTGACATCCTTGTGTTAGCGTGGGTCATTTATTTCACTCACACGAGGCCGCTAAAGCAAATAAAAAACACAAAACGTCTGAATGACAGCGTGAGACGAAGCGAGCTGTGATGAGGAAACACTAACAGCACGCTGTCGTCGACTGTCGTGGTTGTTTTCATGTTTCTGAGCAGCCGCTTGTTCAAACTACTTGAGCATCCCCCAGCGAGACCCTCACCACGTGTGAAGCAGATCGGGCTGTGGAGACATCCAAAGAACACACATTCATCCAGTTTACTCACAGCCTCCTGAAGCAGCTGCTCCAAGCAGTAGATGTGCGGCCGGTTCCCTCGCTCCCCCTCCACCACCACGCTGTATCTGCAGGAGGAGACGCGGGTCAGAAGTTTGGAAGTGAAGATGTTTAACCAACCCAGTCCGACAGTCTGTGGAGCTGCAGCAGCTCACAGCGACAGAGCCGAGTCCTTATCTCCACGCTGATGGTCTGATGTGGTTTCTTTCACTCTCACAAACTGTTTGACACCCTAAACGTCTTTCATTTAACCTGGAATCTGAGGACTTTTCCTAAAGTGACCCAAAATACACAAAAATAAACTTTTATACAGGTGCTGCATGTTTTTGTACTCTGAGGCTGTTTGGGGTCAGATTGGACCCGTATCACCACTGAGATGGATTTTATATCTACCAGTGTGGGTCAGATGAAGGAAAATGGAGGTTTTAGGGCATCGTGAAACTGTGAAACTGTATTTTTTATTTACATGTGTTAATGTGGCCTTTTATACACTCTAAACAGATGTGTAGTTATAAATCTGGTGGAGACACTCACTATGAGGGGATTCTTAACTGAATCATACAGTAAATAAGAATTTAACTTCCACTGTGCTGCTCTGGGTGGAGCTGAGTCCTAAAGGAGCTAAATGTTAAACTTCATGTTTGTCTGACTACAAGATCCGGCGTGTTTTAGAGAAAAGGTTCACATTTTGGCAAATGAGCCGATTCTCCTGTTAGCTGAAGAAAAAGGTTGATATGAAACTGCAATCAGCAGCAGTTTAGCTCAGCTTAGCACAGAAACAGAAACAGGGTGAAGGGTTAGATCAGCTACAGGAGCGACTCTAAAGCTCACCAGTAAATATTACAGCTCTCCTTTGTTTGATTAGTACGAAAACCAAAGTGTAAAAACTATGATTGCTTTTGGGTTCATCAGGAAAACACTCAAAGTTAAACAAAAAAAGTGATTTTAAATGGAAATAAATTAAAAATGTGACACCTGTGAGGTTTACTTTCATTTCTGTAAAGCGAATAATGAAAGTAATTCAACTTTGATTTTCTTTTTCTGTTTTTATGACTGCACCCAAAAACACTTTGACTTCGCTCCACTTTTTGTTGTGCTGTTTCCACCGAGGTGCTGGACTTTATTATTTAGTGAAAAATTAGTTTAAAGTGAAGAAAAACAACAACAACCAGAACCAGCTTAAGGTTTAAAGGCTGCAGCGTGGTCCGGTGGTTTCTTTTCTTGTGTGGACTCACATGTCAGGGGAGTGGACAGTGTTCACATGTCCTGCGTACAGCAGCTGGTCGTCCATCGGGATCAGAACTCTGAGCCCGTCCACCAGAGAGTCCTTATCCAGCACACACTGCACCGGAGCTGAACAGGAAACAGGAGCCGTCAGTGCTTACATACATCATGCTTTGGTGAAACGTGGAGGCTGGAGTCTGGCTGCACTGACCCGGTGTGGAGGAGCGCTCCGACACGCTGTTGCTCCGCGGCGGCACAAGCTCGTCTTCGCTGAAGCTGCTGTCCTGGTTGGGCTCGAAGTCCTCGTCCGCCGCCATGCTCTCCATCAGCCGGCTCACCGCGCCCCTGGAAGGCTGCAAAGACACATTGGTTCACGTTTCAGAAGCAGCTCAGTGAATGAAATATTTGTCACAAGCGTCCGACTGAAGCTGACGGTGTTTGTTGAAGGTGAACATGTTGGTGCAGGTTGATGTGTGGCAGCACACCAAACCACCACAAACCATAAACGAGCCTTTCAAAGTCAGACAGGAACATATTACAACACTTATGCTGCTGAATACACCATCTTTTCTGCTGCTCCACCACCACAAAGAACCCTGCGCACACTTCAGCTGCATTCAGTGTTTCCAAAACAAGCCCGAGTTTGGGCCGGTGGCAGATGGTGAGCAATACAACACTTTGGCAGAAATCACACAACGCAAGAGGTTTACTTGTTTTTTTTCTTTTCTCCCTCAGTAACAAAACAACAGTGTGTTAAATACAACACGAGCTAACGGTTCACTGCTTCAGCCTTATTGCTGCTGCTGGTGTGTTTGTCCAGCACAGCGCTGCACGTTCAGATCTAATAACTAATAGTTCTGGTTTTGTCCTTGTCAGGATAATAAGGTCCACATCCATAATGACTCTGCAGCTGATTCATCATGCCACTGACCTCTCTGGCTTTGGTCTTGGCTTTGGGTTGGCTCTTGCGCGCTGGGCTGAGGCTCAGAGCTGCAGGGCTGTCTGTGATTGGGCTGCACAGAGTGGACGGGCTCACAGGCAGGGGAGGCTCCTTCGGCTTCTTTTTCTGTTTTACAAAAAGCCACAGAGTTAGAACATGCATACGGATGCAGGACGGCACCGAGGCTCTGCTGGACAGATTTGCATCTTCACGCATGCACGCGCACACGCAGGCTGTGAGGGCGGGAAGCTGCCAGGAGGCCTGCAGTTGTCCTTTCTTGTCAGCAACACGACTCAGACAGCAGGGGAGAGCTGCAGCCACTGAAGTAGTGGAAAACCCTGCTGGCACTCTGACACACACACTTTAACACACACTCGCAAACAAGTCAACAGACGAGAAGATGTGAAGGAAGCAGAGTCTGAAGGAGACAGAACCGGGAACAGAAGAGAGGAGGGGGACGGCCCCAGAGCTTTGTTTCTTATTCAAGGGAATAACCGATCGATGAATTATTGACGTACTTTCACCACATCTTTGCCGTCCCTGCTGGGCGGAGCGGGTTTGGGTCTGGAGGCGGGCTTCGGGGTGAGAGGCGGGGCCGAGCCAGTGGAGGAGGTCTGAGTGGCGGAAGCGGGAGCTGACACGGACACCTGATTGGCTGAAGTGGTGGCGTCGTGGAGGAAGATCCTCTCGCTGCGTCGGCGGTTCCATCCCTCATCCTCGCTGAAGCCTCCGAAGCTGGAGCTGGAGGTGAGGTCATAGCTGATCCTGCGCGGCGAGCGAGGCGAGGGGCGTGGCTTCGGCAGAGACTTCCGCTTGACCTGCAGCACCTCATCTCTCTTGGTGGGGCTGCTCTGGTCGATGCGGCGGGTTGCCGGGGGCAGAAGGGGCAGCTCGGGGATGGAGCGTTTCCCGTGCAGCAGAGAAGGGAACTTCCTCAGCCTCAAGTCTGAGCCAGAGTCGGACCACTCGCACTCAGAAGAACCTGACGGAGGACAGAACAGGGTCACACAAGCAAGTCATGCACCAAGGTGTTGGATTCTCTGAAATCAATATTTCAGTGAATGGGACTATTGATCAATCTGGAACTAATACATAATTCAAGACGGAATCATTACGAGCGCCCTGATGTGACAATTAGAAATGAATTAAAATTTAACCATGAATCGATAAGAAAACGCTGAACAAATGCTCTGGCAGTGAACCTCCTCAACCACAAGGAACACGATGATGGTGCTGGAGGCCTTCAGGGAGGCTGTGAAACTCGCCAACAGCAGAGTTTGTGCAGCGAGCAGGTGTGTCTGCATCCTGTCGGCACAGCTCGGACATCAGGAAGCACATCGCTGGTTTGTGCTACCTGTCCTGTTGTCAAAAGGTAATCCACATCCAAACATCACTGAAACAGTCTAATGTTTTACCCAGAGTGCTTTGCCTGCTGCAGTGTTTGCCATCATGGAGGAGGGTCAAAGGGCCGGAGCTAACGGGGAGCGCGCTCGCTGCAAACCGGGCCAGCAGACCCAGTCCACTCTCCTCACAGCCATCCGAGTCAGACTCCTCCTCTTCCTCGTCCTCATCGTCGTCGTCGGATGTTTCTGCAGCAGAGAAGAGACGTTCAGCTCAGAGACACATGATGCTGCAGCAGCATGGGCCAGAGGTCCAATCACTGGGTCTGGGCCAGAGGTCCAATCACTTCCCATCATCTCTACCAACTGTACACACCTTAGAGGAGATTATAATACTTTTACAGCAACTTGGACTTTTAAGAGTAACCATTTGTCTACACTTGTTAACATGTAGTCGGGTCGGAAACAACAGTGGAACCAGCGGCGACGCACCGTCCACAACACTGCAGCCTCCTTTCACACCCTGAAGCTGCATAAGCAAGATGGAGCAGGGAAGCTCTGCCATGTACATGCACACACACACTCACACACACACACACACTCACACACACACACACACTCACACACACTCACTCACAATCTGCTGTGACTGAGCGAGCTGAAACTCTGACTCAGATACCATCATTATTGACAAAAAAACCCTTCAGAGACTGTGACAAAAGTAAAAAGAAAAAAAAAAACTGCTGTCCTTCCTCTAAAGAGCCAGCAGAGCACCGAAAAAGGCCAAGGCACACACACACACACACACTCACACACACTGGCATGTACACTGCAGCATAGTGCCGGTTAGCTGTGTGTTGCTAGCAGTTAGTAGACAGGTCCTTGGCAGCAGATGAGCAGGAGGAGAGCCTCCTCCGGGGTTAGAGAGTTAACAGTGAGGGTGGATGCACAGTACAAGATCTCCTCGACTACAACATGACGTCATCGTTTTGTGCTTTCAAACGTAAAATAAATAAGATTTTTAGTTGAGAGACAGTCAACACGAGGACGAACATCAGTGTTGAAGGTTTCAAGGTTGTTTTGAGCAGAACCGCTGATGAAGCTGGACGTTCAGAGGACGCCGCTGTTGATTTATGATGCTTATTTAAACTAATTTTCTGACACAGATCTGGTGTGCAGGTTGTACTGTGAATCCACTGAGTGTTAACGAGAGCAGACAGACATTACAACAAGCAGGCACTGAGAGGACAGCCCTGTGAGGCCCCTTGGTAGAATAACGCTCATGTGTGGTTGGAATGACCATGGTTACACGCTCAGCTCCCGCCAAAACGCCTTCCTTTACACTTTCACGAGTCACCGGGAGACGTGAAGGCGGGTAAGCGGGCGTAACCATGGCGACATCACTAAAAAGCTTCAATTTGTGAGAATAAATTAAAAAAAACAAAACAAAGAAAAACAATCAAGATAAAAAAAAAGTTAATGTTTTGCGTATGTGGTTTAATTTGTGCAGTCCATGTTAGTGGTCAATAAAGAATAGAGGGAGGGGCACTTCCTACTTACAGAGCAGGTGACAGGGGTGTGGCCTCAGGCAGGGTGGGGCAGCGCGGCGGCCTGGCCGTAGCGTAGCCTGGCCTTAGCACAGTCTAGCTTAAGCAAAGCTTTAGCCACAGCGTAGAATAGCCATAGCGAGGTAGTGTAGGCTCAAGGCTGCGCTAGTCCTTGCCAAGCTTCTGTAATGTCGCAGTAGCAGCAGCATAAGCACATGGAACAGGCTGAGAGACACACATAGCATCATGGGTAGGACAGGAGGGAGGGAGGGGAGGGAGGGAGGAGGGGTGAGGACAGAGCAAGGTGTCTGAGAGAGCAACGTAAAAGGGAGAAGGGTTATTTGAAGGTTTAGTAGACACACAGGAGGAGCTCTATTGTCCAAATATCCCCAACATCTCATCACTCTGGGTATCAGTTACTTCCCCCACAGCATCAGAAACAGAACCAGGCCACACAATCAGTAAACACATCACCTGAGAGGAGTTACGCTAACCCTTCCTAAACACTAGCAAGACTAGCCGAGACTAGCGTCACATATCAAGCCCTGCAAAGACAAGAAAACCAATCTGTCCAGTCCGGTTCAGGCTCTGCGTGCTCTGAACTAACCCTCTGCTACTGTGCAGCTTTAACAACCTGTGCAAGGAGAACTGAAGGGATATTTGAGGAACAGAGCACTTTAAAGGATGTGTGAGGTGCAGTGGCAGCTGGACAGACTGACGGAGACAGACAGATGAAGCAGACACAAGGACCACAGTGCTTTGCATTCTGTACCAATCAAATCAACACCTTTAATAAAGCTTATAGGTACCAAACTGCAATACAACTTTATGGAAAAAAATCTCACAATTCACACAATTTTTCAGTGTACAAATACTACAAAAAACATTATTTTGCAATGCAGGCAATAAAACCACCATAGAAAACTCTTCTTTAAAAAACAAAAGAGGAAAAAAAAACAACAAAACAAAACAGCAACTTTGCAGAGAAATCAGCAGCATGAGAGGTAGAGATGGTCAAGCTAATGCAAAGTCTGAAAAACAGCTGCCTTAGCGAAAAACAAAGTGTGAGGAGGCTCGAGACTCAGTGTGGTCTGACTGAACAGCAAGCGGCAAGGTGCTAAGAGGTGTTCAGTAACCTTGGTCGAAGGAGTCGTCGGAGGAACTGAGGCCCGCTTCCTCTAGCAGCAGCGATAAGTGCTTGTGTTTCTTCTTCTGAGACTTCTGAGCGGACAGCAGGGAGGTCGGCGATGACGTGGACCGCCTCTTCCTGGTCAGGTTGCCGTGGGAACGCATCCCTGAGAGAGGGGGCCAGCCCCCTTGAGCAGAATTGTGCTCCTCTGAATCTGAGTCTGGTGTGGAGAGAGTGCGGTTAATGATTCATGAGGTCACAAGGACGACAGCAAAGAGTCACACACAAGGAGGATGTCTGTCTGACCTCCACATCACAGCCTCGCATGTCTGCAAAGACTCAAACTAAACCTCAGTTAAAGTTTAAAGCTATTGGCTTAAAAAAGCTCAACATACGGTACACAACAGCAGGGAGCACACACCTATGCAAGATCACTTCAGTGACTTTAAACTGCATCACCTCTCAATAACTGCATGACTTCTGCTTTAAACAGATTCTGTAGCAAAACTACGGTGATAATTCAGGCCCCCAAGTAGAAACTCAATAAAAGTAAACACACCTGTGATCACTGTTATAACAGCTAGAACACCTGTGATCACTGAAACAAACCTGTGATTTCCAATCTGCCTCGTGAACACCAGAACCTTCTCAGTTTTGGACCAGTGGGATGTGTCTGTATGTCTGCATCATGGCTCCATGTGGAAATAACTTCTACATGATTTCAATTATGAGACATAACCGAGATGGAAACGCATAGGGGAAGATCAGTGACCATCTAAACATCTACAGCAGGAATCAGGAGGTAAAGTACCATTAATCAGAGCTGACATGGCTGTCCGTGAACAGTGTGCTACTAGCATGATCTAGCTCTGAAACACAGACAAGCAAGCTTCAGACTGGGCACAAGGGCTGTTGATAGAAACCATGTGACAGCTGAGACAGAGTGAAGGACACTGCATGACATCAACCTCTACAGATGATGTACCAGAACAAAATCCTTGCTGGTTATTTGGCACAAAACTACAAACTTGGCTAAAGAACATGAAAAGATGCCTCTGGAGCCCTTTAGTCAGATGAGACCAGAATGAACCCAGTCAGGACCGCCACAGTGGACGCATGGTCCTGACAGTGAAGAACGGAGGCAGGAGGGTGACGATATGGAGCTGTATGTGTCCAAAAGGTGTTGGGAGACGACATTTATAGATCCCACCGGGAACGTCTGTGGATGTGGCAAATATCAGCCACCAAGATGACGCTCAGTCTGCAGAAACTTAACGCTCCGGCACCCCGCCCAACTTAACTCAAAGCACAAAAACATTCAAAGAAGACCACTGTGAACATTAGGACCTGGTCAAGTACGTCACCCGCCTCAACATGCAACAGAACCCCTTTGGAGTATTTTACAGAGAAAGGTGAAGCAACACCACCCTCCAGCAAAGAGCAGCTGAATAAAGAACAGCAGCACATCTCCCAGAAACACCAGAGTCCTCTGTAACGAGCAGACCGAGTCTGTAAACAGGTCCACATGAAGTTTTAAAGGTTTTGGGGTTTTCAGAGTTTCCACTGTGGGGCCTGTTTCTTTAATAGGAACATTCAACGAGTTCTCCTGCTGCTCAATTAATGCAATTATTGTGAGGTGACTCAGTTTAGAATCATTTGAAACTCAGGTGATATTGCCCTCCTGTTGGTACCTGTAACTAGACCACCAGTGTGTTCATCTGACCACGCAGCAGCTGCAGAAGCTCCAACCAACAAGCAGAGAACAGGACACGTCTCAATCTGGAATAACTGGGCCTGAGTTTAAATAAACCATTCAACCTGTTCTCACGACTTTCATTATCAGTTACGATCACCTGTGTTAACAACATGAGCCCCGACACAAGCTCCAGCTATGTCCTGATCAGAACACTTCAGTCCTGTAATCGGCCTTTTCAATCTTTCTGCTCCCCTGGACCTGGTACTTTAGGTTCTATAGGGCCGGTTCTTTTGGTCAAAACACACATCAAGGGTTCAGGATTCTCTACACATCCCACAGGTTTGGTAAAGCGGCCTCAAGACATCGATTACATGACATGAGATCATATGATATCTACATGTGGCCCTTCTGTGGTCTCAGGCTGTGCTGACTGAGGAGGAAACATCCCTTCACATCACACATGTAAACCCTGAACCAGGTACTCACTGTTGGAGCAGCTGCTGAGCTCCGATCTCACTGGAGAGAACAAGGCGGCCTTCTTCTGACCTTTCACCTTCCGGACCGTGTCTGACGCAGAGGCCTTGGCGGCCATCTTGTGTTTCCCTCCTTTGCTCGAGGAGTGGACGCCTCGCTCCTTCATTTGATTTTCGGCAGACTTTCCCTTCAGCTTCTCTAGCTTCGTGCCGGAGGTGAGTTTGCGGGAGGCGCAGAGCGAGCCGAGCTGGGAGAGCGATAGCGCCCTGTCGAGGTCCGACGCCAGCTGCTCCTGCTCACACATGTGGCCACGCTTCGCCTTCAGCACCTGAGACCAGAAAACACGCGTTAACGAATCAGAACAATCGCTGCTGCCAACATCCGTACTGCCCAGCGGCCTACCTCCAGAGCGTGACTGGTGGACGGCTCCTGGTCCGTCCAGCTCTTCTTCTTCTTTTTCTTTTTCTTCACTTTCACTCCTCCACTCCCCGCCTCCGTCTCCTCGTCTTCTCTGGACACCCGGAACTTCTTCTTCTGTCCCTCCCCAGTTTCAGAGTCCTCAGAGTATTGCACTGTCCTACCCACTCTGAGGGATGGGACACAATCACACTGGCTGAACAAGAATTCAAAACAAACACAAACTGGCAAAGTTGAACTGTACATGACATCCACTCACTTTCCAGGCCTGCTGTCTAGTTTGGGAGGTGTGGCCAAGAGCTTCCTCTTCCTGGGTCGGCCCCTGCCCCGTCTGGTCAGACTCCGCCTCTCGTCCTCCTGCTGCTGCCGCTCTCTGCCAGAGCACAAGAAAGTCACAGCCGTTTGTTTGCCTGAGTGGCAGATGTGGAGGCACTTTTGTGTGGGTGTGTAACGTGTGATCAGCTGATCTTCTCGTCGCTCTTACAACACTAACCGTTTGTCTCTGCGTCTCTGCAGCTTGCTCAGCTCCCTCTGCTTCTCCTTGTACGTCTTCTGCAGCTCGGCCAGGCGAACACGGTATCCCACCTCCACCGCGTCCAACACGTCCACAGACATTTTACTGTAGAGCTGCGGAGGGGAGACGAAAGCAAGTCAGGATTCTGCTGCAACACTTTTGAATGTAAGGGTGACGTTCCTCTTCCTCTTACCGGCTCCTCTTTCCTCTGCCTCCAGCTGTACTTCTTGTTGGGATCCAGCATTCTGGGTAGATCGATGTGGGACTGCTTCTCGATGGCCTCCAACAGAATCTGTCTGCTTGCTTCAAGAAGACAGTCTAGACCCTCTAATGTCAGATCTGGACGGGATGAGGAAAACATCAAACAGGAGGAACACAAAAAGCAAAACAACAGAACTGATTGGAGTGTTAGTGACTGCTTACCTTGCTCCTGGCAGATGTGCTCCATCTCTTGTTGGGCCATTTGGCTGAGCAGGGCCATCCCCTCCAGCGCCGCCATCTCCAAAGGCCCTGCGCTGCTGCAGCGAGCGCCCACAGCTGGGTTTTCTATCTGCGGTAGAAGTATGGGGGCGGGCGGGGTGCCGGAGCGAGCCTGGGAGATTTCACTGGCTGTCAGCAGGGCGAGCATACCTGCCATGGGATCCTCTGGACCGATGACAAGTGGAAGCGGAGAGTTGGGGGCAGGAGGCGGATAGATAAGAGGCTCAGCGACACTTTCTTTCTGACTGGGAGCATGAGGCTTGATTGGAGCGTCTGGCTGCTCTAATTCACACGCGGCGCTGGCGGCGTCCTCCAGCGACGGACACACCTGAGACACTTCCTGGCCGTCTGCATCTGCAGCGATGCATGATGGGTACCGTGTCCGCTCTGGATCCTTGATGACCTCTGGTTTGGGCTCAGCTTCAGCGAGTGGAGGAAGCAGGGGGTATGCCGCCTGACACGGGTAAGACGACGCTTCCATTTTGATTTGACCTGCTTCTTTCTCTTCCTCCCTGACGTCCAGTCCTTCGCCTTGCTGCGGTGGAGGACTGGGGACGCGCAGAGGCAGCGGCTGAGGCTGAGGCTTCAGGGCGTCCCCGTCTTCCTCTCTGTCTTCGCTGGCTCGGACGGGGCTGCAGCCCTGCCGAAGTGGACCGAGCGGTTCTGGTGTCAAGTCAAGCGGCGGCTGCTCCACACCGGGTTCCTGTTTGAGAAAAGATCCCGTCTTTGAAGGTTCTAGTTTCTGTGGCTTGATATCTGCGTCCAGAGGCCTCGAATGCGGCCTTGGATGAAGGTGGGGCGGGGCCAAAGGGGCAGCTGAGGCAGGAGAGCAGGAGCGATGTGGTCGGACAGCCTCCGTGTTCTCCCCCGTGGGTGTTGGGATGTGATAAGGGGGGAATGATGAGCCAAACGGGGCAGTGATGGACTGGTACGGATAACCTGGAGGCAGATCTGTCAGAGGAGTAGAGAAAAAATTAACCAGCGCTCAAAACGTTCTTCCACCACCCTGGAACCAACGCAGCCAGACTCCTGAGTCCACACAAGCTTGTAAGTTCACATGATGAACAGCAAATCAGTGACTGTTGGGTTTTTCCCGACTCACCAGAGTAGATGCCTGGAAAGGGCGCCGCGGCCGGCTTCTGCCCTCCCCTCTGCACCCTCTGTCCCACCTCCCCCTCCTCGGCCGCCTCCTGCTTCGGCCGCCGTGGCGAGGACAGGGGCGGGGAGGCTGAGGAGGGGGGCGGCGGGTGAGGCAGGGGCTTCGGCAGGTGAGACAGCAACCTCTGGCCGCCCTCCTCCGACTTGAGGGCGGTCACTGGAGAGGAGAGCGGGGGCAGCGAGGTGAGGGAGGACGTGGACGGGGTGGGCGATCGGGAGGGCGGGGGGAGCTTGCGGGGGTGCAGGATCTGGGAGGGGGACGGGGAGGACATCGAGGAGGGTCTGGGTTTCGGGTCAGGGTTCCGCTTGTCTGCCTTGTCTTCCATCTCTGGCCGGTGCTCGCTGACCTTTAAGCGCTCCTGGAACACAGCAGACGAGGTAATCCTATCAGATGTACGCGCTGTGTGTATAATGTGACCGACTTCACTGCAGGGTATAAATATTAACGTGTGCATTGCTTAAACTTCCCCGACGTATTCTTTTGCAGCTGCAGGATGCGGCTGTTTACTGATTGTGTTACACGGCGATTTTTGTGGCGTCACAGACCAAACAAGAAAGTTAAAAAAAGTCAGTTTAACACAGTAGTGACACTGTGTTGTATGTGTGCTGTATTTAACACGGCCATGTATGTATCCACTCACGACTAGCTGTGCGTTCCTCTGCAGCTCCAGGACCTGCACCGTGTGCTGCTGGATCATGAGCAGCTCCTGTTGCCGGAGCATCTGCTGCTGAGAAAGGAGCTGCAGCTGGGCGGCGTGCTGCAGAGAGCTGCCTGCACCGTAGACGCCCGACCACACCGGCGCTCCTCGCTCCAGCGCATCCCCTCCTGCAGGACGGGGAGGAAGAGAGAAAACTTGCAAATCCATTTAAACTGGATGTGACCTGCGCAGCATTTCTTGGCATAAGATGTGTCATGTTAACTACGAACAAACAGGACAGTGACAAAACTATCACCAGTTTGTTTCTCAAAATGAACGGCTCCCTGAAATTGGAAAAAACTGACGTGTTTTGTTTTTCTGTGATATGGAAATATAAAAACAATGCAGCTGTTTTCACCAGATGACTTAAATAACTCTATTTGTAAAGAATTAATTATTCTAGGATGAATGTTGAATTTATGGGGCAGTGCATCTGCATGGATAAAAAAACAGAAAAATACTTTTAACTGTGTGAACCATTTGGTGGAACAACAAGACAGTTTTTTTTTATTATTTTGCTTTGGATGGCATTTAGATTTGGATTTAGTGGTTCATATATTTCCAAACAACTAAAAAGGGCTGCAGGATGATGTTGAAGATCACGATTATTTAACGTAATTACATTTAAACGAGCAGAGCAACGCCTTCACTTCTATGCTGTGCTACATTCCTGCTAATGTACGAATCCGTATTAACACACACGAGCGTTCATACCGTAGTGAGGCAAGTGTTCAGCAGGGATGACGATCAGCTGTCCGGACTGTGGGTCCCTGGCAAACTGGTAGGGAGGGGGCATCGAACCTGGCAGCGAGGGTGGGTAACCAGGGGGGAGGGTCTGATGAAGCGAGGACGGACCCAGGCCTGAACAGGAAACGAGAAAAAGGCGACAATGGAGGATGACAAGAAAGGAAAGTGAACATTTTTGTGGTGGGAGAACATCTACCATCCAGCCGGGGTTATCGTGATCGTTACGCCCAAACTAAAACCACAACAGCGTAACATTTGGCAGCGCACACGCCGAGTTTAGCTGCTTTTAGGTGGATCATGTTTTTTTACCCTTAGTGTCTAGACACAGCTGGACCTTAGGGAGCCCTCCATGAGCATGTGTCTCTACATCTCGTGTTTTCAGATGTCATGTGTGAGCTTGCGTAAGTATGCGAGTGTGTGTGTATGTGTGTGTGTGTGTCTCGGTGCTGTTATTTCTGGACAGCAAGCGTTGGAGAAACAGGTCTGGAATGTCCTGCAACCATCAGGAATGTCTGTGGCACTTCACCCCTGGAGGCTGCAGCAGGACAAACCTCTCAAACTGCACACGGCACCTCCTTTCTCCAACGGGCCAATCGGAAAACGCCGCAGCAACAATACTTACAGCGCTGACATTGATCGTCCCGTTACAATGCCATGTTCTGCTGGGAACCCTTAAGGTCCTGGCGTTCGCGTGGGTGTTACTCTGACATGTATACCACACGTAAACATTTCTGCAGACCGAGCGAACCCCCCGCGGCAACAGCAAGGGCAGGACAATGTGCACAGCGCTAGAACTGCTCAGACACAGCTCAAGGAACACGTCAAAACAGCCCAAGGCAGTGGTCCCTCGCCTCCAAACCACCCTGATCCCAATCCAATCAAGCATATGCGGGATGCACTGGAACAAGCCTGATCCGCAGAGGCCCCGCCTCACAACTCACTCAAACCCAAAGCATCAACTGAAGATGTGCCAGAAACCACACATCCCCGCGGGTGTCCACGTGTCGAGCTGACTGGTGAAGTGGTTTAATGGTGTTGGCATGCAGAACTTTGCAAACAGCTTGAATAACTCTGATGTCAGACTTTAACATATAGATCCCTACGATCATCTATTTGACATGACTGCACTACTGATCCTTTGCTGATGCATCTGTCCATGTGCAGCAGTGTGCTTGCATGCAGCTACAGAAGGTTGACGCGCTGCGAGCAGGAAGCACATGAGCGCTGCAACAAATTTTAATTTTCAAACGATCAATTAATCTGCCGAATATTTGCATCAACAAGCTTAGTCTAAAATATTAAAATCACCCATTACATTTTTCCATTTTCCAACAGTCTGCAGAGTTTCAGATTACTATCACACAAGATAAATACGAGCAACAAGCCAACACACGCAACTGAAAAGCCCCGATTAATTCTTCAACTAATGCATTCGTCATTTCAGCTGCACGTCTGACGCAAGCCTTAAAATTCCTCCCATCACTAACTCCAGGCCTGACTTTGTCCTTATTCAGAGGACTGAATGTTTTGGGAACATCTAAATATATGCACGTACTGTATGGCGAGCTGGAGAGCCAGACCGGAGGGGCTCCAGGCCGGGGCATCCACGGGTGAGAGGTCAGAGTTGAGGGGTCGGGAGCCCACCGGCCCGCCCCCGCCAGAGCGGCCCCTCCTGTGACCATAAGGTTGGGGGTCATGAGGCTGGGCGTCATCATGCTGGGCGTCAGGCCACCGGACAGCGGGGCAGGGTGCATCTGAGTGAACTCCGCCAGCTCCTTGGACTCTCTGGAAGGAAACGAGACATTGAGCAAAACATATGCAACAAACTTTTCACTTTTAGGAAGGCCTACCACTAGATCATTTACACTATGATTCATGTTTGAGTAAATAAAGATAATCTGGTGCAAGGCGGGAAATTACTGCATCAGCTTCATCTCACCTGAGCACTTTCTCCTGCTCGCGCTCCAGCCGGCCAGCCAGCAGTCTGTCGTCGCGGTGGTGAGCGCGGTCCTCCCCTCGCTCCTCATCTAGTTCACCAAAACAGCGAAATAGATTAGATGAAGATGTTGAAGAGCTGCATCGATGAGACTCCTGGAGAGTTTAATCCCAAATGTACCACAGGCCCATCTCACATAATTACAATATGGTGAGAAAAGTTCAATATCTGTGCACCTGTATACACTAAAGGAAAGAACATGGGCAATAAAAGCTTATTTATTAGACATTAGAGAAATAAGAGGAAGCAATGTCGGAGGATATTTGAGTAATTAGGGCCCCAACTAATGATTATTTGATTATCAATCCATCTGCTGATTGCTTTCTTAATTAACTGATTTGGGTTTTGATCAATTAAAAGTTATGAAAAATGTAGAGAAGTGTTTCTCAAAGCCCACAATGACGTCCTTAAATGTCTTGTTCGGTCCATAATCCAAAGGTATTTAGCTCACTGTCACAGAGGAGGGAAAAATAATAATAATACAAGTTAAGGAGCTTGAATTTTTTCCTCCAAAAAACTTCTCAAACTGATTATCAAAATAGGTGGCAATTAATTTCAATAGCTGACAACCGATCCATAAATGTATTAATCATTGCAGCTCTAGTGGAGACAAGCGGAAGAGAAAAATGGGTGACGGCAGGAGAGCGAAGGGAAAACAGACAAGGTGGCCCCATCATAACAAGACAGCACAGGTCTGAAGAAGAACAGCGTTGATAGATAACGTATGGAAAGTTCTTGAATCTTAAAAACCACACACAAGCAAGTACGGTGAACCTGAAGGAAAGTACAAATCCATCTTTCCATCCAGCTCTGAGTGCATCAGCCTCCACACATGAAGCACACAAACTGTACAAACACAGAAATGCAGTGACAGCTCTCACTCAGACTGTCAGCTCTTATCAATTATTAGTCCAGAGGAGACGCGTGAACATGCCACCGCTGCCTTACTGTACACACTAACAGCTGCAACACTCACGCTGCACACCGAGAGGGCCGGTGGCGAAAAGGAAAAAAATAAATAAGCGCTTTAAGGGCAGCAGCACTCGACCGGGCAATCCAGAATAAACATGAGGATCTCCTCCTCGTACTCGCTCCCGTTAACCCTCCTCCAGCTCATCAATGCTGACTGAAGGTCCCCGAGTAGCAGAGGGTTTTATACAACTGTGCCGAACCCTTCAGTTCTGCTCCAGCAGTGTGTGTGTGTGTGTGTGTGAGTGTGTGTGTGTGTGTGTGCAGCCTGTAAAGGGACAAGAGACTTTAACAATCCTTGACATGCTCCGCAGGAGAGGTTTCCAGACTGTTACCAAGGTTACAAGGAGCCTGTCCCACATGCTATCCTCTCTGCATCAGAAAGCCTGCCATTAGCATTACATTCCTCCTCCTCCTCCTCTTCCTCGTCCCTCATCACTCTACCCTCTCCTTTCACTCCTCTACTACCTGACATACCTCTCTCCTCCCATCTATAAACCCATCGATCTACGTCCCTCTCTGTTATTGTTAGACCCTCCCTCCTCCTCCTGCCTCCCTCCATCTGCACGTCCATCCACCCTTCATTCATCCATCTATTTGTGTAAATCTTCTGCGGTTTATTTAGAGCTCCTCTTACCATGAGGGACTAACGCCATTAGATGAATCACTCTGCTCAAGCAAAGAAATGAATTAACACTCCCCAACAGGGTTGCACGTGCGCGCACATGCGAACGCACCAGCATCTACTGTAGCTCATAAATACACACAGTTCCTCGTACACACACACACACACACACACACACACAGTCACTCAAGACTGATCCATTGCTTAGCAACGCACCCATGGTCTTATTGTAATTCAAGGCTTGTTTGTAGCTTTTAGCTGCACTCTGTAATGACATGTTTAATGCAGAGGGGGTGGAGGCGGGCAGGGGGGTGGAGCTGAAGAAAAGAGTGGAGAAAGAGCAGGGGGCCTGAGGTAGGACGAGGAGGGAGTGCCTCTACAAAGGCCTGCTCAGAGAGGAGGGGAGGGACACATTCAACTCAATGAAAAGAGCGAGAGACAGAGAGAGGCCGAACTGTGAGAGGACATAAAGAGCTCAGTGACACATGGAGCTGAGAAAGAAACAGAAACAAGGAGAGCGACAGAGAAACGGAGCCGAAGCGCTGTGACCGAATGACCTTGACGTACAGGAGCTATGGCAGGGATTCATACGCAGCACCGAGCACGCAAAGTGTCCAAAAAAACAACAACAAAACATACATAAAACAAACAAAACATAAATAAAACACTCCACAACGTGATTAGCTACTTGTGGAAAAAGTTGTTTTTAACAACATCACATGCACGAACACCTCAAAGTCAGACGGGCAGAGGGATGATGTGAAGAGATGAATCCTCCATTATTCATGGAAACCAAAATGAGGAATCAGTTAGTTCACGTAACTCCCTGCAGGACGATTCTGACGGCGTGAAAGCAGAAGCAGGAGATGATGAACATGTAGGGACAGATAGTTCAGTTTGTTTGAGGTACTTCTCAATAAGTCCTACTAGTGGATAAAGTCCCCGACTGGAAGAGGCCGACCAGCACCGTAATGCAAAACAGCGTCAGGGGATTGGTTTGGTGAATAAAGAACACTAGCAGGACTGATCCAAGTCTGTTGTTTTCTGTAGATTAGGGGATTTTGAAGACGATAACATGCAGATAGAGGAAGAGCAGGGAAAAGTCACACCGACTTACGCCTCTAACCCACGTTCAGTGAGTCAGACCACACAGACGAAGTAAAGCTAATGTCAGTGATGTCTGGTGGCTTTGAGGAGAACAATGCAAACGGTTCAGTTCCTTGCCAGAAAGGAAAGCGGTAAAAACATACTGAAGGTAGTCTGTGCTTGAGCTAATACTGATCGTGTTATGTGGGCTTTTTGTTGCGGCTGAACCCAACCACAGCAGTTCATCGCTTAGCTTACATGTCGCTCCTCCTTTCTACTTCTCCAAACAGCGAGCATCAACCACTGGAGATAATACACCGACTATGGAACAGTACCTCATGTAATCCCACTTCAAAGAAACCAAACTTCCCCTTCAACTTCCCAGAAACTTCCCAGAAACTACACAACACGCTAAACTATCTGATCAGTTCAGTGGGTTTTTTCCAGTATTTCAAACCTGTATCCAGTAAACATCACAAAATGTTTTCATACACGATCATAACACAAATGACTCTGCTTCAGTCGATTACCTCGCTGTGAGTACCTCCGTCGTGCCAGAGAACTACATCAGTTATGGAGAATGTGGAGTTGGAAAGTGTGGGAGAGGACCAGTGACTGGATCATTACCTTTAATAGCTGGTTGCAGCAGGGGTCTCTGTGTGTCTGAGGTCCCGCTGATCTGTTTACTGCTGGTCCCGCTGTCTCTCTGTCGGGCCACAGCCACAGCGATGCCGACCGGAGGGTGTCGCACCTCGCCTTCCCCCTCCCGGCCGAAGGAGCGAGCGCTGTCCGGCCGCTCCTGCTCTCGCTTCAGCTGAGGCGGCACCCTCAGAGCCCCCGAACCACCCGATGCCACCGCCACCCTTTCCCGCTCTCGCTCCCTCTCTCTTTCCCGCTCTCGTTCTTTATCCCTCTCCCTCTCGGCGTCCATCCCGATGTTACCCAGACCGCCGAAGGGCCCTCGGCCGTCCGCCATGTGCCTGGAGGAGCCGGGGCCTTCAGCGGCAAAGTTTCCGCTGTATTTAATGAGGCTCTGCATGGCTGAGACCTCAGTGGAATCCAACCCGACTGCTCCACCGCGCTCTCCGCCGCCGGACCCTCCCACCAGCGACACCCCAGGCCGGTAGAGGGCCGCCGGGTCGAGGTAGCGTCTCTGACTCCCCTCCTCGCTTGCACGGCCGTGAGAGGAGTGAGTCTGGGGGGAATGGCTGTGGGAGGATTGTGAGTTGCTGTTGGGCCGATGGGATGTGTGGGGGGAATGGGATACCTGTGTGTGCGTCGGCTGGCTGTGGGGAGACGGGAGTGTGTGTCCGTGTTGGGCCGCCAGAGCGGCCATGTGACTTGTGGCGTAGTTGGCCAACGGGCTGATGGTATTCCACTTGGGCTCGGACCCCGTCCGCTCCATGCCCAGTCGGATTGAGTGTTTAGAAACATCCCTAGTTTCTGGGCTGAACCTTGATTGATTGGAAGAGAAAGATGCGTCCTGGCCTCTCTTACCAAAGGAGCCGTTAGAACAAATGACTGACCCTTCTTCTCTCTGATTGCTTAAGTCGCCTGACTGGGAGAGCCGAGGATGCTCCACGAGGCTTTTCTCATGAAACCTGTAGCTCTCCCTCTCCCTGTCTTTGTCCCGCTCGTGCTCTCGCTCTCTTTCACGCTCTCTGTCTCTGTGTTTGTCGCCGTGTTTGTTATCGCGGGCCTGCGATGCGATCTGGATGGGCCCGGCCCGCTCGTCGTAAACCTCCACAGAAGGCACATACGTCGGTGCGCTGACTCGCTGCTCTCTGATAGTCTCTCTGGATGCGGAGAGGAAGGGCGGACCGGCGGCGGAGGGCTGGAGAGCAGGAGGCAGGACGTAGGAGATGTGGAGGGTCCCGGCCGACGTGGCCACCGAGTCGTTCCTCCTCTGTCTGTCCGCGTGAGAGTTTGAGTTGTTTGAGTTAGTGTTAGAGTTTAGGCTGTGGTGAGGTCGAGAGCCGCCCTCCTCGTCGTGACCCCCTCTGTCTGTTTCTGGTCCGTGAAACCTCCCTGCGCCTCCGCCCCCACCAGGAGGGAAGGAGGCGTGTGGAGGCGATAGTCTGGATCGGGGCTCCACTGTGGAAGGCTGGGAGTGTGACTTCTGCTGGTGAGGATGGAAGGACCAACCATCTCTGTCTCTGTGTGTGTCCCGGTCCTTTTCCCTCTCTCGTTCCCGGTCTCTGCCCGGCCGGCGGTCCTCCTCGCCCCTCCCGTCCTGCGTCAAGTCCACGACGCTGTGCGGTCGCGGCTCCTCCCTCGACCGCTCTCGCTCGCCGTCCCTCTCCCGCTCCCTGTCTCCTCGATAGGACCTGTCCCTCCCCCCGTCCCGCGACGTCCTCTGAGGGGGCGTGGAGCTGGACGGGACGGTCAGGGAAGCCGACGGGGGGTGGAGAGGCGACTGGCCCAGGGAGGATGGCAGGTAATATCCCTCTAAGACAAACAAGACACAACACAAACAAGCCACCGCGTGAGCTGTTGAAACAGATGATGAAGACTCAGAGCGTAGCGGCACACTGCAGGCAGAGGTGAGCACGATAAATATTTATATGTCAACTTGCCAAGAAAACTTAACAGTGACACAGACCTACTGCAGATCTGCAACAGCCACATCCCAGAAGAGGAAACAGTACTATGTATTACAGAGAGAAAATAACAGAAACAAGACTAAAAAAAGTCTGCTGGATGTTGTATTTCTGGCTGCAGGTTTGGCCGAGCTCCACCACTAACTGCACTACAGTGAAAAGGCCCGACACGAAACCTACTGCCACTGATGCATTCACGCTAAACGCAGCCATTTGTTCCCGGGAACGCTGTCGGTGACGGATACTGACCTTTATGACAGTCGTAGAGGGGGTGCTGGGGGAGCGAGGGAGGCTCCAGGTGCCCCAAGGAAAGGTAAGGGCTGGAGTACAGACTGCTCGGGAGAGGAGGGTAACCTGAAGAGACACAAAACAAAAAAACAAAACAAGGAAGTTAATAGAAAATAAATAAACAAAAATCACACAACACTTATGGAAATATCATGGCTTCGTCCAGAAATTTAATCTGCAAGACTTTTGATAGTAAATCCACATTATTGTTTTTAACATTGTAAACTGAATATCTGGATTCTGGACTGCTGATTGGACGGAACAAGACATGTGACATCGGACTCTTGGACATTATGGTCCCCCTTTTGTTATCATAGCCCAAAAGATGACTTGATCAAAAACAAGCCGGATTCATGACAGGAAGCGAGGCTGGATTTCACATCGTTACATCATCCACGGCGATAAAAGGACCGCGTGATGGACGCCTCCATCGATAACGATAAGAAAACGCTGGACGGCTTCATTTAAATGCACTGAATGCAAACCGCCAAGAAAGCAAATAAAAAAGTCGGGTTGCATGGTAGCAGCGTGCTCCTCTCCTGGTTCAGCCGATTAAACCTCCTCATAACGGAGATCCATCCTGATGCTGTCTGATGTGACAGCTCCACCCTTCAGTCTTGGTTCAAACTGCTTAAGAAGTTGGTCTAACTCTTGGGAAGCAGCAACTTTGTGTAGCTGCACGGTGTTGAACTGAGAGGTGTTTTATTAGCAGCTGTAACTACCTGGTGTTTACATTTACTGTTAGTCTGATAATATTTTACCAAATTGATCCCAAAGTAGTGATGAATGACGAGAACACATCCCCATGCCCTATCAGAGAAAACTATGAAGACCAGGTATGGAAACCGTGAGTTTACGATCCTTTAACTACGAGTTTTCTGTGATGGAATTTTTGAAATACAAGCATTTTTATCACAAGAAAAAAACCCAATCATGCATTTTGGTTCTGATTATAGGTCTGCTGGGAATATGACCTAATCTGCTGTTTCAAAAACACACAAAGAGCAAAGCTGATGTTTGGTTAAATGTCTTTTCTAATTGGTTTAAATGGATACGAGTCATTGGAAACTCAACCATATATGTGGTCTTTACAAGTGTATGTAAACTTTTGTTCTCGACTGTAAATCCACAATCAGAGTTCTTGATTCATTTTCTGCAGCTCTACTAAATTCAATAATCCATTAACAGCCAACAACAGGAGACTAAAACAAACTGTAAACCTTGTACGCTGACCCCGTTTCTGTAATACAATAGCTCCGGCTGACCCCATGTCACCCGCCGTGAGCCGTCGTGTCCGTGGGTCAGCCTCGGCTGTTGGGCAAGAGTCTGCCTGACAGCCAGCTGCTGCTCTTAAAGACCAGATCTTAATATAGACAAAGGCTTGTGGCCGGAATTCTCTGTTAGGACCGAGGAGGCTCCAACCCTGGCTGGTGTCCCCACGTTAGGCCTCAAGTGGAAAAAAAAAAAAAAGAAAGGCAGCCGCTGTGAAAGGGCGAGACGTTCCCTGTTCCCACTCGCAGAAGCATTAAAGATGCCGCTGCCATTCCAGCACCGAGCGCCGGGCAGCCGAGCCGAGGCATAAATCTGTCGCCTCGCCGTTCTGAGTGGCAGAAATGGAGAAGCCAAGCGAGGCGGGCGGCGGGGATGTCGGCAGCAAGAGGAGAGCGAAACGTAAGAGGGATGATGGAGCGAGAGCGAAGGCACCAAGATTCTCACAAAGCCACTTTAACCACAGCTCACCTGGATCGCTCACAGCTTTGATACGGGCTTCCTGTGCAGGCACATCCACAGTCCTGCCAGGAATCGCATTCAGTAGTTTTAGTCGGTATAAAAGCCCAACACCAAGCATTAGGAATCTCTCTTAGGCCGTGAAGGATTTCATCCATAACAGAGCAAGTCTCCTGCTTCCTCAGCCAACGGGGGGTTTAGCTGCTTCAGCTTTTGATGCTGCTGCTTCACTTCCAGACAAACTTCGGTCAGAGTTCGTCCATCCTTTGTCTCTGCGTCTTGTTTTCAAGTTACGACTGACATAAAACCGAACCCTGTTTTTAACACAGTATGTGGCATTTTCTCAGCATTTACATCATGTCATCACAGCTCTACCTGATCGTTTTCACTCCTGTACAGGTGAGTCCCACAGAACAAGGCATTTACGTAGTTCAACCTTGTAGAACAGTTCAATAGAGTTCAATTTAATTGTGACCTCCAGCAACTATAAGAACAAGGTAATCAAGACGAAACACATTTTCCATTTTGCAATAGAATTTGACTAAAGCGCCTAAAGCGTTCCTTCACAACGAAGTGCTTTTGTCCGTCCCTCAAAGCCCAAACATTCCCCGAGTTAACTGTCGAACAGGTAACACGAGACTGTTGTCAGACAGGTAAGTTCTGCCGCCTGATGATGTGCTGCTGCAGTAATCCTGTTCAGTGAGAGAGGAGCTGCAGGTTAGAAAGTCTGAGGAGCCAATTTAAAAAATCATCCTGATGCTAAAATCTACTGGAGGCGACCAAATCAGAGCTAAAAAGCAGGATTTGTTTACAAATGTTCCCCGTCTGGCTTTAAATTGGAACTTTTTTGAATGGAGTTTGGTTTGATGAAGGTTCATTAAAGGCCTGAAACTAATTATTATTTTAATTGTTGGTTTAAAAAAAACAACAACAATTGTTTCCTCAAATGTCTTGTCTGTCCAAAAACAAACAACTAGCTTCAGTCGTGTAGATGTGATTGTTTTTGTGCAACTTACTTATTTTTAGTTTTTTTTTCTGTTAACTTATATTTTAAGTCGAACCAAATCTACAATTAAATAGATTTTTTTCTCCCAAATCTCTGTAAGTGCAAAAGGTCTACAAAGTTTGCGAGTAATTGTGTTAATCGTGATCTCCATATTAACCAAAATAATCATAACATAAGGGTCGACCGATTATCAGTTCAGATATTCTTTATTTTTTATTTTTAACTGATTCTCATTATTAAAAATATTGGTTCCAATGCAGCCGCTTCCTTTTCCTGCAGCCACCACTCACTGCCCATCAACACTGAAGTTTTCTTTTGATTAAACGTGTAAAAGGTGTTTCGATAAAGTTTTGTGTTGGACTTATTTTAGCAGCAGGATATTTTGCTGCAGAAGTATCCTGCTTACAGACATCAGTCTCCTTTCTTGCTAATAATTGGCGGTGAAACGAGGAAACGTCCTGGTCGACCCCCGATTATTAGTTTTTTGCCACAGTGGAGCAGTTCAGCCGACAGCCTGCAGCTAGTTAGACTTTATCTGATGCCAAAAACAAAAGAGACGCCTCCCGCCACCTTTGAGTCGTACCAACAAAAGCATCAATTAATCCAAACAAGAAGTGTAAAAATGAAAATGTGCTGGTTTGTGCTGGTTTGTGGTTATTGTTCTGGGCTCTGAGCAGGTGTCTGGGGACCAGCAGAGGCTCCTGACAGCTTCTGATCAAACTGTGACCTACAATCAAAGACGCAATCACGTGTCAGCGCCGCCCCTTGAACAGTCCTTGAACTGAGAGCTCAAGGCAAAATCTTTAAAAAACAAAAAACCCAATCACAGCCAATCTAATTTGGTGTGTTTGGAAGACACTGAGCAGGATGTGTGTCACACAGGAGATGCAATCAGTTTTAAATGGAATGCATTTGTCCTTCTCCCTTTACCTGCACCGCGGGATCCGTGTCCTCCTATCTGACCTTCTACTCCAACCAGATTTGATAAGGAGCCTCAAAAGGACTCAAGGGAACACGGAGGGAACCCAGAATCAATCACTTACTGAGCAGCAAGAAAAGCAAAGACACGTAAAAGACAGACGACGATTTGTGAGTCCAAAACCGTCTTTACAAGCTGGGCCAGGACAGAGATGTAGAAGAAATGTGGGGCGGCAGAGCTGAGGAGAGGCGGACAGAGACCAAGTGGTGAGGAAACTCAAGAAACAGAACCAGACGGGAGGAGACGGATCACAGGCAAAAGTACGCGACTGGTTGAGGACGGAGGAAGCGAGACGCATTGAGGACGGAGCCGGGAGCAGCGCTGCCAGCGCCGCGAGACAGAAATGGAGCAGGAGTTGTAACCAATGAGGAACAGAAGAGGAACAAGCCTCCGGGGCATTCCACATGAGAGCACCGTGAGGAATATCTTGAAGAGACGATGCCACCGGTGTTTCTGAATAATGATGTGAGACGGAGGAAGAGGAGGGAGACAGAAACACAAACATAAAGGCTTTTACCTTCGTGAGCGTGCGATGCCCAGAGCTGAGCCATCTGCAGGCTGCTGGGATTGGCCGATCTGTACGCCGGGTCGGAGGTCAGGGAGGAGGAGGAGGCATAGCCTGACAGGAAGGGGCTGGAGCCTGCTGGGAAGGCATCGCCTAGGAACAACAACAAAGAATGTCAGTCAGCCTCGCAACCACAACAACAACACAGCAACCACAAGACAACACACAGGGATTTTTATAGCGTACACGCTGCCACGGTTTCGCCGTGCACATTTTTTTTTGGGTGTGGGAGCTCAATCAATACGCGCTGATGTATCTGTGCTGAAGCAGCCGGTTGTAATCACATTGGTACCGAGCAGCACTGCACTTCATTTCAAAAACACAGACCACAGACCGACTGTATTCAGACGGAGAGGACAGTTAATGCAACCGCAGACTCTAAACCACAATCGTCACAACAGGGATGGAGCCGTGTGGCCCTGATGGGAATAAGTGATTTCTAAGTTATAGTACACTGAAGCCAAGTCCCAATCTACACCCTCAGGCCTCAGCGCTGAACCACCACAGAGTTAACCCCGTCTGGGACATGACCGCGTTCACAAACTATCCAAAGTGAGGAAATTCCTGTGTGAAGGTTCGACTGAAAACAGAAACAAGTGTACAGATGTGCAGCGAATAACTAAACGAGCAGCCAGATGCTGTAACAGACAGACTTCTTAGTGAATGTCTTCCCTGCACCTCCCAGACTTGGTTTGTGTGCATGTTGCAGGACAACCACATTCACATCCAAACTACCGGCCAGTTCCTCTGAGAAGTCTACCGATATGTGGACTCACTGAACACAGCATCCAACTGTCCACATCAAAGCCTGCTTGCACTTTAAAACTTGACAGCAGGATGACACGCACTAGAGTCAGGTCATCAGACGTGTCACTGCTGGGGACGGTGCTGATTATAAGTCGTTAACAATTAAAAATATAATAACCGAGAAGGCACAAAACAAAACAGGCATGTCAGAAAGTGTGTTGTGGATTAGCTGCAGTACCTGGTTGTTCCACCAGGTGGAGCCTCTTGCTGTTCAATGAGATTAAAGGAGCAACAGAAGAGGATGGGCAGGGCCACCTCGGGGGTTTAGTTAGAGATGGACCACCATGACACAGACTTCTGTGGGATCTAATGGCTGCAGTCCAGCAGGATGCTCTGCTAATAATGAAGCTTCACTTTGCAGCGACAGTCTTCTGATCATGGTTGAAAATAGAACAAACATCAGCTGTGCTTCATTTGTGTTTTCACTTATTGATTGGTTTAAACTTTGCTCTCCTAGCCGTCGTATTCTGACTTTACAAGGGGTGCAGCTTTCTTCACGTCCTCCTGAAGTAACTGGCAAACTGTGAATCACTCTCACACACGAATGTTTTGCAGCAATCCAAAACCAAAAGATAAAAAGACAAATCCAAGAGCCTGATCCTAATATTTGCTCCCAATCTTTGCTTCAAGAACAACACAATCAAGATAGTTGAAGGCTACAGATCAGAATGTGACTGTACAGGGAGATGGAGGAGAGAGAAACGAGGAGGAAACAGGGAGATTATCGTCAGCTTTAGTGAAAAAACGAAACTTTTTGTGATGTTGGAGCCACAGACGGACGGAGCAGCTTTTCATTCAGAGCATGTTTGAGTCAAACACCTCTCAGCCGTCACGCTGACAGAGCGGCTCCTCGTAAAGCGTTTCAGTATGATATGGTTATCGATTGTTTTTATTCCAGCCATCTTTATTAGACTCCACCCTCTTTATGTGTGTAATCTGTCCATTAGCAAACTTGGGAACCTTTGAACCATTACTGCCTCTTACGATCACTAAGAGCCGGGAAAGGTTTGGTGTCTGGCCGAGGAACCCCCGCCCCCCGGCCGGCCCATTACTGAGCGCAGCCATCACTCTGATAAAGCTAAACATGTGTGTGGGGGGAGGCTGCTGTCTGTATATGGGCACACGGGGAAGGGGCTGATTGTGTGTTTCTGTATTAGTCCTGTGGGAATCCAAGAGACATGCTGTGCTTGCGGAGTTCCCCCTGCATCTAAATCAGTACATTAAACCTGCAGCCCGTTAGCGCCTGCACACACACACACACACACACACACACACACACACACACACACTGTTTTAAATCAATACCAAATGCAGCTTTCCAATTAATCACAAGTGCGTCCACATCTACACATGCAGAAGTAATGCACTGTGGCTGTTTTTTTTTCCTCGTGTAGGTGGAAGCTTCCTCACGCCGCCCCATCAGGTTTATTAACGTCTGTTCATGTTTGCTTGCGTGCACGGCAGTGCTGCATGCGTGTCCTCAGGGTGTTTGTGTGTGTGTGTGTGTGTGTGTGTGTGTAGCGGTTGAACTGCATCGCTGACACGTGTACGCGGTTCTGTTTGCAGTGAATGCCCTGTGAGTCAGACACACACACAAATCAAAGAAATCAAAGATATGAACACACACCAACCTGCATGTATGAATCCACAGGAGCACACCACACCCATCCACCCACACACATCCACTCTGCTGGAAACACACTGAAGAGCAGCGCAGTGAGAAGGTTTCACCTCAACTTGGTTGTGTAGCGCCATCACAGCAATGATAAATATTGCAGGCAGCAATTTGCGGCTTCGTACCTTTTCTGCACGCAATAGGAGGATGCAGCTCGATCGGCCAGAAGTCAAGCTGCAGCCAAGCTGAGTTCCTTAAAGTCAATTAATTCTGTTTAAAGCAGGAATGAGCTCACACCGTCACTACGCAGAAAATAGAAAATCAGCAAAGTGTCCATGCAGTAAATAACATCTAATCTCGTCTTCGAGATGCTGAATGTGCTGCAAACTCATTAATGAAAAAGATCTTCTTTAAGAATCGTCAAAAGTAAATACTTTGGAGTTAATTACCTGACATGGCTTATTAAAGCAGAAATGTTAGGATGAAAAAGCCAATTTTACCCCGTTTCAGCTGCAACTGATCCACAGTGTGAGTTATATTAGTTTATAGTTATTTCCACAACTTATTCTAATATGTGCTTGTTTCAAAACAACATTTTAAAAGCAAAACTACATCTGTTCTCAGAAATATTCCCACCAACATATCTGAGGAGTCATTTTCCATTCAAGTACGTTTGGAGGGAAGAGCAGAGAAGAGATTTCCTTAACTTTACGACAGCTGCTAGCGTTGACAACAACGGCTGTGATTCCTGATCACGTCACAGTCGCCCTGCCCAGACGTTCCTGGACAGCGGCAGCCATGTTTTTCTTTATAGATCTCACTGATTTATAGTTGAACTGTGTCGCTCCATCTGACATACGCTGGATTTGTTGCTGGTATAGTCACAATATTTTAAAAATAAACATATATATATATTATCAGAGATGAGATCCTGAAACGCTGCTGCTTCATTCGTCTGTTTAGGTGACTGTTGATGCTGCTCACGGCTTCGTTCAGAAACACCGTCGTCGTGACAGCGAGCAGCCTTGACCTGCTCCATAACGGCCATAAACGTGAGATTAGATATCACATCAGCTGATTTACGATTCATAACGATGCACTGCTAAACAAAACCAACAGCAGACTAATAACTAACAGCCTAGTCCAGCTAAACACTAAACACTGAGATGATTAGTTTAACTTCAGCAACCTAATGTGTGTTTTTATTGTTACTCGATCATGTTGGTTTTCAGTTCAACTGATAAATCATGAATTCAGAACATACGTCACCTCACAGCTCTTAACACAGTCAGCTGAAGACCTTACAGAGAACCCAACAATCCAGAGTTGCCTTTGGATTCCCTACAAGCAAGCGGTCGGCAACGGTGGGAAGGAACCAAACCCGCTTTCCCCAATAGGGAGGGAACCAGAAAACAGAACCGGGCTCAGGGAAGGCGGCCGTCTGCCTGGGCCGGTCGGGGTGAGGGTGGGGATGGAGGGTGTCATTTATCAACTTCTCTATGTGGTTATAGGAAACATTCATGCACACAGTGATGCCGTTACTGCAAATGTCCTGCTGTGACACAGAATCTGAATGATACTCATAGCAGAAGCAGACAGATCAGACTTTCACCGACCTGACCGCTATGACTGAGATCAGGACTCAACCCGAAACCGGAGCCGATAAACCGAGACCAAAGAAAAGCACAGCGTCAGTACCGTTAGAGCCCGATCGGTCCCGTCTCCACATCAGGGATCATTTATAGTTATAAGCAATCGGTTGAGGCTCTGCTGTTTAACGGCACATGAAGGAGACGCTCCTCTGCTGCTGTCTGAGGCTGTTTTATAATCAGAGGAAAAACTCCTGCAAACAGCTGGAAGCAACAAACTCCAGTTAACTACTGACTCAGGGTTAGATTCTGCTGAGTCACGTTAGTCTCACCTGTTAAAGACTCTGTCCTCATTGCAGTTTTACTGATAAATGGGAACCTGTAGAGCAAACCGCTAAACTCACCTGATGAGACAGGTGTTCTGTGATGAAGGCAACAAACTCTGTGTTTCCAGCTCACAGCAGTTTAATAAAACACACAACACTCAGTTCTCTGCTCGTATCGTGTTGTTTAGTCGACTCTGTCTGAAATACTACGGACAAGCAGCTGGTGTTTCCTGACTAGCGTTGTTTGAATAAAGCATTTAGTCAACAACAGGTTTGTTTCCACCACGTCGTCGGCAGAAATCCAGCAAACGGTTCAAGAACCTTCAAACTACAACAAGGAATGATCCCGACCGGTCCAAACTACAGCAAGAACTACGCCCAGGTTCCTGAACCAGCAGCGATGTAATCCACCTCAGACACAGACGTCGTCATCTATCCAATAATACTTCAGACGATAACAACGGACCACATCCATGCACTGTTCCCTGTGAGTCCTGCTGCATTTAGACCAGGGACCTCCAGCTCCGGTCCAACTACTGTCCTGCAGGTTCTAGACGTTACTGCAGCACACCTGATTCACATTAATGGATCTCCAACAGCCTGTTGTCAAGTTCTACACCAGTCTGCTGATGATCCATTAACGGGAGTCAGGTGTGTTGCAGTAACGTCTAGAACCAGCAGGACAGTAGTTGGACCGGAGCTGGAGATCCCTGGTTCAGGACAACTTGATTCCTGAGTGAGAAAAGGCAAACTGAC